TGGAAGCAAATAGCTCTCTGATTTACGTTTCACCTGGACTTTAAGGCATTACAATTTTGTGAAATTGATTTTTTACCCATGTGGACACAGGCAGGTCAGAAGCACTAATGAATTTTGTTAGTACCTAGTAGAAATCTCTAAATAGGACACAATTAGTGAATGCCGCAAATTCTTTAATATTACCTGCAAGTCCCATTGTGTGGCTTGATTTAATTTTTTGTTTTGTGAGTGAGTTGTTTTTCTGTACAAAACCACTGTCTATATGACATGATTTTTCATACCACATTGATAATATATTAATGAAGCTCCCCTTTAGACCATTTTTCGTCCATATTCAACCTTTCTAGGTGCCAACTCACACTTGTCCAGTCTTCTACCTACAACTCATTTTTGGGCTTAATCAAGTGTCCGTTAAAGGTGATGTAAGTGTCAAAGTCATCACTAAAGATGGCGTTCTCTCTCTCGCCTTTGAAGAGTCTGACCCAGACCTGGTCATCTCTTTCAAGTTCCAGCATCAGGCTTTGGCTCTGCATGATGGAGCGGTCACTGGGCTGGGCGTAGAGGATCACCACCTCCTGCTCATTGCGCATCACATGTAGGTATGTCTCCTTCTGGTTCCATGTATGCACGTTCAGGCTGAAGTAGTAGATGCCGGGCACATAGCAGTAGAACTTACCAGTGAACATGTTAAAGTGACCATAGAGGTTGACTAGCTCTGTGTCAAACACCAGTGTCTGGTAGTAGTCGTTGGAGTGTAGACCCTTCTTGCGGGCGACAGAGAAGGCTGCAAAGTAAGACTTGCAGGGCTCACCAGGGAGGCCCATGCTGCCTTTGCTGCCCTTCATGCCAGTGTGACCTTGAGGACCCATCTGACCAGCTCTGCCGGATTTACCATAAGGTCCTCGGTCACCAATATCACCTTTCTCACCTAGAAGCAGTCGAAAGAGTCACGTTCAAGGATGTAGTGGGGGTAAGGCCACCAACAAACTGTGCATTCGTTTGCATACGTACAAACTATAATGATTAGTTATTTTTTTCTTACAGCTGCATCAATAGATTTGTCACCACAAGAGGCAAGAAATTTTTAAAATTCTTGCCAAGCTATAAGCTTGAATTCCAAACATGTCTATGATATTTCCATTCATTTATTCATTCAAGTTCAAAACTCTGATAATTGACCCAATCTAAGCTCGACCCCTTTTCGCTCTGGGCTCCAATAACATTATCTATAATCCATCTTCAAAATGTGGTTGTC